ATTGTTATTGTAGTTGTATTTGTTGTTGTTGTTATAGTTGTGGTTGCAGTCGGTCAACAGTGGAACATCGGCAGACGAAACTTACCCACGCACGGATTGTGATTAACAATATTAAAGATACGATCACAGCGCTTTTTCATATGGTTGTTCGGACAGATGCACCCGAACATGGGCGAGAGACGGAGATTAGTCCAGGAATCGTGGCAGGCATCCCTGTAATGAATCAAGTTGGAAATAGTTTAACCATTTTCTCGTTTACCCTCGGATAACCGCAACCCCAACTCCCACCCCACAGCTAATTGAATTCATTTGGATTCCCCAAGCACCCCGAAAACCTCCAGAAACCAACACCGAAGCGACTTCCGCTTGGCGCAAGCAAAGTTTAAAATTGGCAATTACATCAAAAATGCATATACACACGGCACTGCAATTAATATTTTATCGCATAAGGTGGATCTCAGGCACCCGGGAGCCCCCACCCCGGAGAACCCCAGGTCCCCGAGCCAGACTGCTCGGCATGCGTGTCGAAAGTTTTAGGCGGCGCCGGGAGAGAGGACTTTAAGCCCAAGTTTCACAACTCCCAACAGGACTCCTCCCGCGTGCTCTCAACAGCCGCCGCAAAAAGTCATTTCGAGTTATTAAAACATTCAGAACGTTTGCATTCAAGTGTATCGAAGTCGGGCCAGGCCAGACTCAGACGCGGACCCGGACCCGGACCCGGCACCGACCCGGCCAGGAGGAAGTCGTGTCAGTAAGGATATGTGATGGCTAAAGGAAGCAGCAAGATGCCGGCAAGCAGGAAGTTTCATTTCGCCTTCTGTTCGCTCAACTTGACTCCCGTATACGCTGCTGCCTGCGTGCTCTCCTTTCTTTCTGTGTGTGTGTGTGTGTGTCTGCAGTGTTTTTTGCCAATAAAATCGAATATCGAAATTGAATGTTCAAAGAAGAAGGAAATGGAAGACTCTGCCTCCATTGGAAGGCAGGTGGTACGAATACGAGTTCAGCACCCCCTCGACTCCATTTTTGCTGGCTGGCACTGCCACTGCAATTTGCATTTACCGTTAACCATTAAGCGTTATGGCCAAGTCACGCCGTGGCTGTGTGGCAAGAGGCAAATCAATTTTCTTATTAAGCCAAATATTCTTTAATTGAATTTTCATTATTTCAATTGGGTTTATGGTGGGGCCTTAGCTGCCGTTTCTCTAATTTTATAATTTTTCGTACTTACTATTTTTGTCTTCTTATAATACGGAATATTAATGTTTATAACTGCTCGGAAGAACTTTTTGTAAATAACTATACAAGAATTTGTATAGACGACTTTTTCGAACTTTTTAAAATATCCAAAATATGAACAAGTTCTAATAATTTTGTGTTCGTTCAGTAGGACAATTACCTGTTTTCCATTTTGCACTTATTGTCGCGCACTTTGCAATGGGTTTTGAAGTCCTCGAAGAGCTTCAGGCATTTGCGCTCCTGCTGGCACACGGACAGTGCATGGTTGCACGTGGGCAAGGCATCAATTGGATATGGATCCTTTTCGGCTGTTCCGGGATGAACTAATTGGTAATCCAAAAAGACTAAGTTAAGCGGACAACTTACCTTTCTTGAGGACAAATCCGCATGGATGATCGAAGAGAAAGTCCCGAAAGTGATTACAGTCGGGATCCATGCCGGGCTCCTTGCACAGGCAAGTGGGTCGAAAGAACTGAAAGGCCTGGAGGGTGCGCAGTGCGGCCTGGCACTTGGTGACAGTCACCGTGCTGCAGGACACTGCAAAAGAGAGAGTGAGAGGGTGAGAGGTGTGCCAAGTGAGTGACAGTGGAAATATAGGGAGTGGACGGATGGGAGTATATGCTTAATGATCTATAAATGGCAGCCATGCTTAAACTTTGACATGCTCTTTCTTGTTGTTCATTTCGTTTCGCTTCGTTTCGAATCGAATCGAATTGAATCGTTTGCTGGCTGCCAGTTTGGCAGGAGGGCTGCACATCGATTACCAAGTGGTGACCCATGACAGTTGTTATAAATGGCAGCGTAGCCAGACAACTACCAACCAGATCCAGACACATGTCATAATAAGAGCTACAACGGCAACAACAACAGAAACAGTATGAATAATTGAGTCTCCAAACAAAACGGTCGATTTAAGCGACCAATGAAGCGAGCCATGGACGTGGTCCGGATAATATTTTATAACATAATAAATTATGTTTCATATCACACAAGCACAAGAACGACATACGTATACGCAGGCACATGAGCATGTGACAGCTTATTGGAGCATATGACAACTACTACCAAACAAAAGGCAAACATCTGTTGGCCATCTATTGTCCTTTTGGCCATAAAACATAAGCCCTACTAATAAACTCGGCTACGCCAACACTTCACAAACATGACCAAGCACAGACACACCCTCCACCTATCCATACAGAGAGGGGAACAGACAGAAGGAGACCCGGACTCTCGTTTGGCTCGTCATAAGCCGTAAAATCGCCAAAAAGCAAAACAAGCAAACTGCCGGACAATATGATCCGAGCATAATGGGAAGAGAAGAGTGGCCACGCCATGTGGTTCACGTCACTCATCCGACCCGTGCGCAACGCACACACACACACATACCAATCCTCAACCTCAACTCTTGTGATTGCCCCACGACCCCACGACCATGGGGTCCAGTTCACTTCGGTCCAGTCCAGTCCAGACCAGTCCGGACATGATTATTTGCTAGTTGAACATAAAGTTGCTTCCGCCATGGGGGCCACATCGGAACATTGACATCGACTACGCAACAAGTGACATTTTTCACAGGCATCCATCATTTTTATGCCCCTGCCCTGATCCAACACTTTTTTGGGTGGTTTTTTCGGGCTTTAGGGATAAATGAAATAATAGGAATTAGGAAATAATATTATTTATTCCTGAAAGTATCCTTTAAACGTGAGAGGATTATAAAAATTATTCGCTTTACGAAACTATTCAAAGGATATTGGAAAACAATCGAAATCGTTGCTTATTATTATTCGTTCCTTCAAAAATAATCGTGTGGGTTTATTACTTTTGAAAACTGTGACAAGGTTGAAAGTTTAATCGATTTTAAAAATCATTGCAATACTGAAAACTTGATTTTATAATGCCAATAATTATAAATTATTTATTAATAAACACCACTTCAAACTGGACAAACCGTTTATAAGTAGCACACCTCCTTTCCGAATTTAAGATTATTCTATACACAAATGTTTTTTTCAGTGTGTTCAGTTTTTCACTCTCAGTGGCCTCAATTAATACTCATTGGCTCTCCAATAGCAGTAGCTTTTGGTTTGCCACAGAGCTCGCTCTCCTCAGAATTCCCATTCCCGACTTAAGTTCTTAGTGCATTTGATGGCTGGCTGGCTAACTAGTTCCAGCCAGCTCTTGACTACTGGGGCTCTGTGGCGGCTAGTGGCACCTTTGGCTTTGGTTTCGTTTGGTTTCGTCATTGCATGCTGGCCAGTCATAAAAAAATAAAGGCAAGGCGAGTGGTTTTTATGCTTCGTCGCCATCAACTGACGCCATTTGCTGTTTGTTGTTGCTGCTACTGCCACTGGTGTTTTTTTCTGTTTTTTTGTATGTTTTTGTATTTTTTCATTGCCGTCGCCGTCGCAGTCGCAGTAGCCGCCACCATTGCCATTGCCCTTGCCTTTTACTGTTATTGTTAAGTCCTCAATTCGTTTTTATTCGAAACGCGTTTCCGGTTGTTGAGTTGGTCGCTGAATTGGTTCAATGATTTCTTTGTTTGTTTGTAGTTGTGTTGGGCTTTTGTGAGTGCGAGTGTGAGAGCGCGAGTGTGACTTTGAGAGAGTGTATGTGCATGTGAGAGTGAGTGAATGGGTGAGTGTATGTGAGTGTATTTGATTTTTTCCCCCCTGCTTTATTTGATTTTAGTTTGTTATTTGTTTTCCTTTTTGGTATTTTCTATTGCTTTTTCCTGGTTTTGGCTTTTTATTGCCCGGCTCTAGATGAAATTTATGAGTCATTTATTAAGTTTGGGGCATTCAAAGTCACATAAATTATTATTATCGAGCATATTAATTACGCTGAGACGCGTGAGGCAAATTGTGGACAGCTTGGCGTCTACCATCGAACCCCATTGGGGCTGTCAACGCCTTTTGTGGGTCTTTTGTGTTTGAGATATTTGTTCGTGCCCAGCCTTCCTGGGCATCCCACAGCCCGGCAGCCGGTGGCATTTCCTGAAGTCCTGGACTCCAAAATATGACGGCGCTGGGAACACATGTCCTTTGTGTCCATATTAAACAGGGGCAGCATGCACAATGTGCACTGCACGAGCTGCAGCATGTGCTGATTTTATTGAACCTTCGACAAGTACCCCCCATGGCTCAAAGTGAGTGCTGGGCTCTGGCAGTGGCAGTGGAATGCCGAAAAATATGCCATGCAAAGGCACGACTGCTGCAGCTTCCGGCGAAGAGGAGAAACTACCAAAATATATACGGATACATACATACCATATATGCTCGTATTTATCGCCCAGCTGGGGCATTGAAGCTGCTTTTAAAGGCTTTTGACGGTCGTGCCGACGCATATGAACAGCCAGCTCAGACGAGAGGAAAAACATAAAAAAGGCGAAGAAAAAGAAAAACCTGCATGAAATGCAATTATCATAAATATTCAGACAGTGTTCTCGCGTGCTTTCGGCTGCTTTAAGCCTGGTCCTGTCCTATTGCTCTTGTTTTATCCCTGTCTTATATCCATATTTGGGGGACATTTAAAGGACAACGCGACAGCCATTAACCTGAAGCGCCAACAGCCAACAACAAAAAGTAATTTCACTTTTAAATGAAAAAGTTCAAAGTGCGTTTTGTTTATGCTACACACACACACAGACACACACATGAGAGAGTGAGGGACCCTGGACATAAAAACAAATGATTTTCCATTTGGCTTTTTGTGGAATCCTCCCTGCTCTTTTCTGATCAAAATTAGACGCTGGCCAGCAATTGTAATCGTAAGTTTTTATTGCGGACATGATGCGTTTGCATTTGCATTTGCAATTGAAATTGAATGGATTGGGAAGGAGAGCTGTTGCTCCTATTCGATGATGCCGAGGACACGGGCCTTGCTGAGGAAGTCCGTGCGCTGCACATATGCCCCGGACATGGTGCGACGTCCCGTGTATGCCTGGCGACCGTGCAACACCCGCCAGTTGTCAAAGAGTACGATGCTTCCCGGCAGCATCTTAAGGCTCCACTGCTGCTGCTCCTCGCGGACAATTTGCAAGAGCTGGCGGAGACTGTCATAGAAATCGGCCATCTCTGACTGAGGGACAGTATCAAATACGCCACGATCGTAGACATTGAGACGCAGCTGAACGAAATCCCCACTAAGCGGATCCACCCGGATAATGGGAGCCGTGAAACAATGGTGTTCTCCCTCTTCAATATACTCTCCAGGCACCTGGACACGACACAGCACTTCATAGGCGGGGGGAAAGCGACGGCGAAGCTCGTGGACCACATGCAGACCATCTACAAAGAAGTTCTCCCCACCTGTCCCGCCAGAATGTTCAATGCAGTGGAGAGCCTGCAGGCCAGCGGCATCGCAGAAGTACGTGTTGTCCGTGTGGGAGCCCAGATAGAGCTTTGTATAAGCCGTGTCGGCGTGATCTTGCTTATCGCTGAAGGTCCACATCTCGCCGAAGAAGGTCTTCATCAGGGGAAAGACGCAACGCAGAGCCAGCTCCGTCATTGTTGGTGTGGGCGCCACGTCATCGATGAACACAATGCCGTATCGAACCAAGGAGGCCACCAGAGACTTGACCACCTCGTCAGTTGCCACCAGCTGGGGCAGTGAGAAGCGCAGATGGCGCTCATTTTGCAATACTATACTGCGATTCCAGGGCGTCAGCGATGTGGACTTTGATCGACGCCTTATCACCCGCTCCAGCTGCGAATCGAAGATGAAGTCCAAGTCATAGCTTGACTGGTGGCCGTCGCTCCCTAAAAACCACAGATGTATTTCATCGTGATCTCGGCAGAACGACAGATCTTCTCACTTACACTGAACAAAGAACTTTTCCAATATATATTTGCTCTCCAGAGCCCGGACATCGACAGGTAGATCCAGTAGATCATAGCGCCGTTGATTTGTCTCCAAATTGAGACACTCCCCACAACGACAGTGATCCCGCAGCCAGAACTCGTTGATCTCTAGGCTTTCACCGGTCTTCGGGTGGTTTAATAGCAACATCTTGACATCAAGACAACATCCGACTGTTTCAGAGAGCACCAGCATACTAAAGTAAGCTGATTAGAGCTGACTTGAGAGCCGATCTAACAGAAGCTTATCAGTGGAAGATTTTCCGCGTTTCTGCCATGACAGCGATAACCAAACAATTGATGGAAATCTGCCTGATTACACTACGAAACAATGCTTTCTATCAATGATTATATTTAGAATGTATTATTAAACAAATTAAACAATCAATGACCAACGTCACGTGCGTTTACCATGTGCTGACAGTATCTTTTCCAATGTTTGAGAGTTCATTCTGAATGAATGAATATTCGATACGCCCCAAAAGTCGATACTAATTTGAGAGAAATGAAGAACACATAAATCGATGCTCTTATATATGTTAATTTGATCGTTCTGTCTTTGCGCTACAGTCGATTCTAGTCATACCAAAATTATACTCGGAGCATATGCAAAACAAGTACATACCTCTTATATAAATTGGCAGTAGTAATATTTCCTACAACTTATCGATAAATCAGTTTTAAGTGTTATTTTTAGAGAACCATAATACTTGGCAAATGTGTAAATAGCTGTGAGGATAATACGAGTTTTCTGTAATCTGATCTTTATTCTTTCCCCTCTGGATGGATGCGCCATTTAGAATAATCGAGCGTCGATCGACATACTTTTTAAGCGACCGTATATGCGGTATTATTCTCATATGGAGTGGCACAGTAGGGTTGCCGTATTGGATGATATAGGTTATTATTATACAATGGGAGGGTTGCCGTATTGACCAATACGGATGCTACCCCAAACGTTAGGGGGTATATTTTTGCAATTAAATCATTAACAAAAAGTTATATATTTCCAATGGTTCAAATGGAGAAAAATGAATTCTTAAATTAAATATTTGATTCATCTTGACAGCAGAAGCAAGGGAACACTTTCAATTTGATGTGAGTAATCGCAGTAGGCATAAAGATAACACTCTGAATATCCAGGAATAAATTTCCATTCAATTATTTGGAAATATCGAGCAGTCGCAATACAATTTTGGGTAAGAAAAAAAGTGAAAAATTAAACACTAGCTAAAGAAAACATTTTTGTTTGTTCAAAATCCGTAGCACTCGTTTTCCGTTCAATCATTTCGAATTGTTACAGCTTTCAAGGAATCAGATTTGAAATTTGTAGGCAAGGAGAAATTAAAATCAATTTTTTTGATAGAAATAAAAATGAAACCAATGAAGACTTCCTGGGCCGATGAGGTGGAGGCGGATTACGTGGATGGCCTGCCACCTTCAAAGGAGTACACTCAGGGCAACTTGAAATTTGTGGCCGAGTACAAGTACAACGAGGACGGCAAGAAGGTGAAGGTGGTCCGCACCTATAAAATTCAGAAGCAGACCGTGCCCAAGGTCGTGGCGCGCCGTCGCAACTGGTCGAAGTTCGGGGACTCCCTTCTGGACAAGCCGGGTCCCTGCTCGCAGACCACAATGGTCGCCGAGGAGGTTCACATGGTCTTCATAAGTTCCAAGGAGCTCGAGCAGGCCCAGGCCCAAGAACCTCAGGTGGAGCCGGGAAAGAACATCGCAAGGTGCCGCATCTGCAATGGCGAGCACTGGTCCGTGAACTGCCCCTACAAGGGCACATCCATGGACAGTAAGACTTTGATGGAGAGCAAGGCCACAGCGGCGGCTGCCGCTGCCGTCAGCGATGCTTCAAAAACGGGAAAGTATGTGTCGCCGTTCCTCAAGGAGGGCGGATGCGCGATCGGTGGCGGTATCGGTATCGGGGCCAAGCCCTGGGTCCGCGAGCGCTCGGCTGTGCGCATTTCCAACCTGTCCGAGTCGATGACCGAGGCCGATCTGGAGGAGCTGGTGAAGAAGATCGGACCCCACACCAAGTTGTACCTGGCACGCGAGAAGAACACTGGTCTTTGCAAGGGATTCGCCTACGTGCACTTCAAGTTCCGCCAGGATGCCGCTGCCGCCATCGAGATTCTCAACGGCCATGGCTACGATCACTTGATCCTCTGCGTGGAGTGGTCCAAGCCACAGCCCTAAAGGCAATCGCCATTAAATTTAATTTAATTTCATACATTTTCCCTCTCTCTGTTGAGTCGAGCTGAGGCCACACCGCAAAAGAAATCGAAATAAAATATATGTATCGTCCAGAGAGCTCCTTTCGTGCATGAGCCCAGACTAAAGTCGTTAATGCTTCGTTTTAAATGCGATTTTTTTTCGCTGTATTTCCCGCAACCGCACAAAGGTGAAAGCCACTTAAATGGAAGCCAAGGTAGTGGGGGCTGCGACAGGGATTGGGGAAAGGAAAAGCTGAGAAATGCCGCAAGACGTTGGCTGGACTGAATGAACATTAATAATTAAATATAAGAGCAGACTTATGCTCACGAAACTACAGGGCCATGACGATGGGGAGGGGCAGGCATACTCGTACTCGTAGATGGGAATAGTTCGCGGAAAGTCTGTCTTAGATACACATTTTGAATGAGGAGCGGATCAAAGAGAGGCACAAAAGAAATGTATTCCTGCCGTTGCATTGTTGTTGCTTTTGCTGTTGTTTATCCTATGGTATGGAGGAGGAACCCAGCTAAAGCAAAGTCTAAAACAAATTACTGAATAATTTATAAATTAAGTTTTTCTTTGGACCGAGCTCAGTCGTTCGTCCTTGTTCGTCGCTGGCCATTGTTGGCCACGAATCGAGTGGATGGCCAGCGGGGTAGTTGCTGGAGCAGGAGCACGGGGCAAGCCGCCGGCTACGCGTCTTTCGTTTCTTTTTATTTTGCACCTTTAGGTCATATGCGAGGAACACCCAATAATGCTATAGTGAAATACCGACTACAGGATACCACCTGCTACACAGATTTACGTTTATATGCTTTCATAAATGTTGAGGATGTCATGAGGATGGTCATTAGGATGATTTTTGATAGTTCAGAATATATAGTTATTGCTATGCTATATGGTGTATTCTTTCAAATATGAGACGCATATTGTTAGAACTGTGGATAACATGGGTGCTTTCCATGTTCGAAGTACGGATATGGCCGGAACCATTCGCCGCAGTATTGTGAGCTGTGTATTTCTGTTACTTCGAACGAGGACTACAGGAACAAGTTAAAATATGCGCAACAAATACCATCTGACTCATGTGTAAATAGAAGCATATGAAAATGGCTACGTTCCTCATCTATACCATTAATCAGCACTTTCGGATGAGCGGAATATTCAATGTTTGGCTGCTACTCGAAGTGAGTGTTCTCAATGTACTTGATGATTAAATCCCGATCTGAAAATGGTGGGCGGTGGTAGGAAGGTGAGAAATACTTTACGACCTATCTTCTTCCTAAATATACATGTCAAATTTTAGACAAATCGGTCGATGCGTTTTAGGATTTCAACCACAAACACCGTGAAACTATATTTTTATATATTATATATATATGATCATGGGATCGGGGGCTCTAAATTCTTCAAGAACACAATATACCCTTGTACTCTATGAGCACGGGATATAAAAACATGCCATCGACTCGAGGGGCGGCGTCATTCTCTCTCTCTAGGGCATTTGAATATTCAAATGCTTTTTCTTGACTTCTCCCTCTCCTCTCATTTTGTTCCTGTCTCGCTGACTTCTTCTTCTTGTTCCTCGTCTCTGCGCTTTAAGTATATACCGTTATTTACTGTTTTACTGCACGCGCGCGCCTGCTCACGGAACACACAAAAATTGTTGAAATAATTATACAGTTGTCGGAACAACCTCTCACACCACAAACACACACACATATACACGTTTTCCAGGCAAACAACAACAGAAAAAAAGAGGAAGAACAAGTAAATAAAATGAATTCTTAAATGACCAAAGGCCTGGCACATAATCAGCGTTGATGGTGCCACAAAATGCTGAAGAGCTCTGCCAACACTTGCCACACAAAACTTTTGGATTTGTGTGTAAACATATCATCAGAGGGGGGAATAAAATATGTATCGATTTGATTCGAATTGCGTTTTACCTGGAATGGGCCCGCAGACTCGGGGTATAATTTCCAGAATGGCCGAACATGAGGGATCTTCGAAGCACAGTTGACGTGCCAGAATGCAGTTCAGAATGGCCACAACTCCTTTGATGGTAGAACCTGAAAAAAATTACAAAATAATTGAAATCAATAGTTCATTTTATTTTATTTTATTTTATTTTTTAATTTAAGGGCTATTTTATCGGCTTGACAATTTAAATTGAAAGAAACTCGATAAGAATGGAGCTGGATCCGGATTTAGTAGAGCAATTTTCAAATCTGATGGTCTCCACGCGCCCCATTAGTGCCGAGGAGTTGGCCAGATTTGACGAGAACGCACCGCTGCGTCAACGCAATGAGATCGAGCACCCCTCATACAAGACGATACCGAAGTTCTTTGAAGCGCCGCTGCCCCGAGGGGACACCATCCGACAGAACCTCCGCAAAGAGGCGCATTCGTTGTATCTGCAGCAAAGGTCGCAGGAGCTGCTGGACAGCAACGAGCTGGACGAGCTGTGGAGCATGCTGGTGAAGCACGTCACCCAGATGACGGCAACGGGTCAGCAGCTGATCGACTTCGATGCCTACCTTCAGTTGCAGGGCGCGGTGAATGCCAAGATCCGAAATTATCTGACGGCCCGACTCTTTGGCACTCTGCTCGTCCTTTCGACTCACCCTGGTGGAATGGTGGACATTGTGTCCGTGTTTAACTACATCATGCGCAAGGTTTGGCTGAAGCAGGCAAGGATTGGTCTCTCTTTCTACGACGAGATGGGTCGGGGCTATCTGCGAGAGACCGACTTGGAGAGCTACATAATCGACCTCATACCCAATATGGCACAGATACGCGACTGCATGCAGCCCTCGTTCCAGAGCTTCTACGTCTGTACCGTGCTCAAAAGGTTCTTCTTCTTTCTGGACGCACAGCACAGAGGACGCATTCGTATCCGGGCTATGCTGGAATCGGGAATGGTCACAGATCTGCTGGATCTGCGCGAAGAGGGCGATCCAGAGGATCCGCAGGACAAAAACTGTTTCTCAATGCCGGCGGTCCTCGCGGTGTATAGGAACTATCTGAGCCTGGACAAAGACCACAATGGAATGCTCAGCCAGAAGGAACTGGCTGACTATGGTTCTGGCACCCTTACAACCATCTTTCTGAAACGCGTTTTCGAGGAGTGTCGCACCTACCAGGGTGAAATGGACTACAAGACCTACCTCGACTTTGATATGGCGATGAATAATCGTAGAGTAAGGAGGCTACACTATCTGTATTTAATTTATTTCTGAAGAAATACTACCCCAAGTCCCCTCAAGCACTGCAATATCTATTCCGCATCTTGGATGTGGACCACAAGGGCTACTTAACAGTCCAAACATTGCAGTTCTTCTTCAAGGGCATTCAGGAGGCGTTCAAATCACATAATGAGGTTCCCGTCAATTTTGAGGACATCAATAATGAGATATTCGACATGGTCAAGCCAAAGGATCCCTGCAAGATTACCCTGCAGGACCTGATCAAGAGGTGAGTTAAGCACGGAGCACAATTCCATATTCTCGTACGACTAGCACTGCTTCCTTCTCGCCGCAGCGGAAAGGCCGAGACTGTGGTGTCCATACTAATTGAATTTCATAAATTCTGGGCATACGAGAACCGTGAGGAGAATCCGCAGAATGTTTAATAACAGCATTCCACCCGGCAAGGCGCAGCATGAGTGCGGTAATAGCATTAAGCGAAATTTAATTAAATCCCCCGACTGGCCGGCCAGCCCGAGTACTCGGGTAATGCACTGCCATCCTGCAGCCTGCAGGCTGCAGACTGCTGGTATTCTAGGATTTAACCCTGTTGTTCGCTTTTTTCCGTGTCATACTTACATGCAAATTCGTTGTGAAAAGATTCGCAAATATTTCTGGCCCATTTGTATTCGCGAGTGTTTTATTTTAATTGCAAATTGCTCATAAATATTTATTCGAGTACTTTAATTATGTTAATTGAGCGTGCCCAATATGTAAGGGTTTAAGGAATTTGCAATAATTTGTATTGAAAATCAGGTACAAAAAACATGAGGGCTCTTGGTTTTTATCATAATTTTATGTTCGACAAATGCAGAAAGAGGGATCACAGAGCAAGAGCTAGGGAGAGACAGGAGCTGGCGGTTTATAAAACATTCATTTCAATTTCATTTCATTACGTAAAATAAACCAAGTCATCCGGACGGACAGCAATGCTACAACTGCAGAGGGAGAGTCATCCAGGACCCGCCACTGCTGCTGCTGTCTATCTAAGCAGTCAAGTTTATACTCGACTCGCGGCAGAGGCAGTGCCTACCCGGTCATGGGCCATGATTCACTCTGCCACTGGCACTGCATCTGCCCCACTCTTTCTGGCACTCCTTCTGCCACTCTACTCATCCGCCGGATGCCCAGTAAAAGTTGTAGTCTTCCACTGCTTCCCCTCCTCCTACCCTCCTGCTGCTCATTAACGAAATGACCGTTTGCATATTGCAAGCAAGGTCGGTAGCTGGAGTGGGACTGGATCCGGACTCGGAATAACAAAAGAAGTGCCTTCAAAAATTCACGAATTGCATGCGGACGCAGCTGGAGTTGCTCCGCTCCGCCGCTACTGCAGGATCTGCAGGAAGTGGCCTACTGGCCGGTAACAAGTACGGGTAACAGCAGTGGCCGTAACAGTAACAGCCGGTCGTGCCGTAAAAGTTTCGTGGCACCGCCACTCGAATTGTTTGCGGAAATAAAAATAAACAAAAGTCAGGAGAGAAAATTCCACCGACACGAAACAACAACCAAGTGACGATTGAGAGCCGGACTCGGTTCTCGGCTCGTTTCGGTTGGACCTTAAAGTGTTTTATGGTTATTGGGTGCTTAGAATTGCATTGAGATATGCAGCGCGCGTCTGTCCCGATGACAGTCGAAGAAATTATCAGCGTCAGCTGGCCCCAAACACAAATTGCCAGGCAGTAGTCGGCCAGGAGGGGTTTGAACTGCGTCTCCCACCATTTAGCCGGGAGCGAGTCCAAGCCGGCCCCCTGCGACCCATTTGGAATCACTTAAAACACACAAATCAAGCAAAAGTTGAAAACACAATAACAATTGTTTTGGGACACACCATAAATTTGCATGCCAAGAAGAGTAATGCTCTCCGCCTCCGCCAGCCCCCGCCACAAGGAAAAAACGCGAAATAGGCACATAAATATGCCGACCGACCGCTGCCGAGGCGCCACCTTCAGTTCCACACCCATCTCCTGCCCACCAGCTACTGGGACGCCGACGACAACCAGAACAATTCGTTTGTGTCACAATCAGATTCGGCACGGGCACAGCGCACAGGCACAAAAATGTTCGCTTTTCGCGTTTCGCGTTGTTCGCTATGTTTCATGAATTATTTTTCTCAAACCCCAAAAAGTTTTCCCCCAAAAACTTTGACTGCAAAAAGTATGCCAGCCAAAAAAAAGGAGAGAGCGGGGATGGGGCAAGAAATTGACTGGGAGCTGGCCAGTGTTGCAGCCAGCTCATCCTGGGGAGCAGCTCCAGAACCATTACCAGTACCAGCACCAGCCACGGCTTGTTTGCGTTGATTCGTGCGGCGAACATTTCGATTACCATTTTGCCTGGTTCACCAGCCGCCCCAGCCGCACCAGCCGATCCCAAGAGGAAGAGGTCGTGTGGGGGATTCCTCCAGTGTTTCGCATTTTCTGCAACTTCCTTTCTGCTCGCTGCCCTTTGGTCTCGTGGCTCTGGTGCTCCTGGTGCTCCAGTTCCTACTCCAGCTCCTGCTGGTTCTGCTTAAATTTCAATTGTGTGCCAGGGGCACTGGCCCGACTCTGGGGCACTCTGGTGCAGGCTTTAATAAATTATGGCCAACGTTGGGGGTGGCTCTTGCTGTTGCTGCTGCTGCTGCTGCTGCTACTGCTACTGCCGGCCCTGCATGCCACTTGGAAAAAGTTAATACAACAAATGCGCTACCCAACGGCAACAACAATTGCAATAACAATGACCGCATTACGAGGCCGCGAATCGTTGTTGTTGCTGTTGCCTCGAAAGCCAAGTCTTCAACGATGGCGGCGGCACTGGCAACATCAACAACATGGCCGAGAAATGGCAGCTTTACAACTTCCGGCAAGCAAGGACTACAGGCGGAGGTCTGTTCCTCGTCCTCGTAACTGTGAAATGTTCGTTGTGGTTGGTTTTCCTTTTTTGCTGTGGGTTTTCCTGTGCTCTTGCTATTGCTGTTGCTGCTACTGCTGCTTGGTGGCCATCCTTATGTCATTCGGGATTATTTTGTGGGTTAAAAACTAATTTTCGGTCATGAAGTGGATTTCGCTGTGCATGTTGCCGACATTCGGAGGCCCATAAATATGCAGCCAGCAGTGGCAGCCAAACTGGAAACTAACGGGCAGCAAACGGCACAGAGCCACACGATTTTGGCTGGTTCATTTGCATGGAAAGCAAATGGAGCTGGTTAGTCCAGAAGCCCTACCTACACATTAAAGAGTGTTATACGCATTGATGGCTTAGATCAGCTTGAAGAGGGAAGGTTCATGGAGTATAAGTTACTGAAAAATATACTCGCAGCAGATGTGACGCTTAGACAGGAAGATTAATTTCTGCCTGATTTAATGCCTGCTTGATCCTTAGCTTGAAATGGAGGATCGTTTTCAGAAAATACAAATATATATATATGATCATTAACCGGATCAATGGCAAAACGTTGCAGCTCGAAGAGAATGTTGCTCATGGAGCAGAAAAGGCCTATCCTTACTCGGATATCTCCAGCAAATGTCAACAGTAGAAAGAGCGTGACCGAAATTATTTCATTTCATTTTATTTAATTTATGTTCCAGGCTCGCGCAGAGGTCCTTGGCTGCTGTGGCGGCTGGCATTTAAATTTAACTGCAGACAGACAATGCGAACAGGGCTCAGTGGAACAACAGCCACAGCAACCAGTACGACTTTACCCCACGAGCACGAGCAGCAGCAGCAGTGGCAGTGGCAGCAGCAACAACCACTCTGCCCCATCAGAAGCAGCAACAACAAGGCAAGGGGCGACAACAACGGCAACATAAAATGTCGCCCGCGGCCATTTTCATGGGCAACCAACCGAATTGGGTGTTGAAGCAACAACAGCAGCAATAATAGCGGAAAGGAAAAAAATCTGTTATTCGTGGGGCGGTGGAGGGAGGCCGGGATGGGGATGCTTCTGGGGATTATGGTCAATTATGTGTAAATACAATTATTGTTATTGTTGTCGCTGTTGTTGCTGTTGGCCATGATGCTGTTGTTGCCCCTGGGTGTTGGCCATGTTGCTGGTTGTTTTTATACCCTCCAAGAGGGTATTTTGATTGCAACGCAAGGAAGGAATCATTTTGGACTACATTTCAGAGCTATCTGGCTGATAAGGTTAATCTTAACCTTAATCTTCACTCTTAACTTGTTTTTTTTTTTGTAAATTAGTCGCATGGGTTTCTTGGTATCTATTACCAAATGGAATCAATTCGCACTAGCTTATCATAAATAGCTACCATAACAACGATCTACCTGCAAAGGGTATCAACAGTTGCCACATCCAAGGACAGCTCTCCCTTTTTGTTGCTGAATTTTGTTTCGGTTAGTTGTTATTGCCATTGTCATTTATGTTTTTCCATAATTGTAGTTACTGTTGCTGTCGTTGTTGCGGCCGATGTTGCTGTTGTCCATATTCGAACCGATACATTCCATAAATATTGTTGTTTTTTATTGCACGCCAGGCTGATCTTCCAGACCTTTAAAAGCAAAAATGCCACCAGCAGGAGACCTTTCCCCACTCCATTGGGAACATCCTCCTGTTGCTGGCTGGCTGTTTCGTTGCTTTGCACGTTTTGACGTGATTTAAGTACATTCTGAGTCCGTTTCCAAGTCAGCAGAAAATACAAATAAAATGTAAGTAAAAGTAAGGAAACATTTGCAGAGACGCTGCAGCAAATGCCTTGCCAGCTCTGGCTGCTCTTTCCAATAGCGACTTAGTCACGTCACCAATGCAGCACTTGGCTGGGGTCGAGATTGAAAGGGGCTACAGGGATTTTCTACGCTCAAATGTTTGTTTTCTATTTTTATTTAAGTTAATGTTTCTATCGAACGTTTCAGCATGGAATGAACAATTGAGAATTAAAACTACAAAGTCCACTTTCCATAATCCTTTCTTAGTAAGCTACCACGTTTAGATAAGGGCCTTGTGTCGGAAAGTACAGATTTTAAAGGTTACGTTTCGCATAAAGGCTTATTTAATAGATTCACATGTTTTTATTTACACAGATATTACGCTCCTATGTAATCCCCCAAGGGTCCCTATCAGCAATCATTATTAGCTTGTTAACTTCAACACTCAATAGGAGTCAAAGCATTCCCCCAAATGTATTCAATTCCACTTTCTAAATGTTATTCGCCGTCTGGCCTGCCCTGCCAAGAGCCAAGAGGCATTGCCAGCGGAAAACCAAAACAAAATAAACACATCAATAAACAGAGTTGACAAAGATTTGATTGCATTATTATAAAACAATTTGCATTCGATAAAAGTCAAAAGCAGGCGGCCAGAGTCATAAAAGTCGCGCAATGAAAATTGAGGGGGCTGCCAGAATGGGACCGTGGAAAAGCTGCTGAATCAGAATCAGAAGCGGAGCGGAGGCGAAGTCACTTTTGTTGGCTTTGAAATGAAGAGGAAAAGAAATATGCAAAATGCGCATAAATCTAAAGGCTCGACGCAGACGGAAATCACGACGGAGGCAGGACCCGGATGAGTCCTCTTCCACTACGGCTTCCATTTCCATTTCCCTCCCCTGTGCCATGGCACCCAGGCTCCCAGGCTCCCGATGCGTCCACGTTCGCGCATGCAGAATAAATGATTTTCTATTTGTTAAGTCAAAGTGAAATTGTCT